TATGACATTGTGATATAATTTGGAAACTGTAATAGCAACAGTAAGAAAATGCTATGATCTTACATAGTTTATATTTTGGCAGTTAAACATCTGCTGAATTGGATTCTAGCAATGAATGTTTCTTATGTATCCATGGATGAACGGACATGGATTTCTGTGACACTGAAGAAAACTTGATGATAAATGACATTTATCTGTGTTTAGCTAGCTAGCTAGGCTCTCTTGGAAATTCACTCAATGGTGAACTTTCCATCTTAAAAAATCCCAGACAATGTCAAACTGGTGATACTTCAAAATACTGGAATGTTCTCCAAACAGGTTTTATTGAGTTCTCGCAAGTAAGGTAAGTTAGCTCAATTAATAGCGACTTAACTCCAAAACTTTTAAGCAATGAGGTTCATGCGATAGCGAAAGGTGTGTGTGTGAACCCTGAAAAATCCCAGACAACGTCAAACTTGAGATACTTTGATTGTCTGGAATAAGTTTTCCAAATAGACATTTATGGACTTTTAACTGAGTTCTAGCAATTTATCTCCAGAATCTTCCAACAATAAAGTTCACATAATAGTGAAAGTGTCTGTTTAAACCCTGAAATATACCAGACAAACTGTCTCCATGAACATCTGCCACTTTAGGATGCCCTCTGTGGTGTTACCATGACGATCAAGTCAATCCTTAGAACCTGCTCCATTCTCGGGTGTGCTGCATTCTAGAATTCCAGAATCCCAAATCCATCCAGGTAAGTTCTAGAACGGATTCCACCAAATTCTCCGCCCTCTCTCTCTGTCTCTCTCCACCTCTGTATATATTCAGCCATTTTGCAAACAAACAAAAACAGTTTGGTAGTCCCTTTCTCCTATAGCTGTGTAGTGACAGAGTCCTCTATGACCTCGCAGCTGTCCTCGATGACATCATCGCAAGGTCCCACCCAACCGCCCATCATCATCACCCCTCCTCCTCCCCCTCCTCCATCCACGCTGCCATCACCCGATCCTCCCATGCCTCCACCCTGGAAAACGTCCTCACTGGAGTCCAGGAGGCGTGAGCTGGACTCAGACATGTTGGAAGCACAGTGCAGGGATTGGCAGGGGCAGGGGGGCGGGAGGGGCAGTGTCAAAAGCGAGTCTCGCCCATTCGTTCTCCGAGGAGAGAACGACGGGTTACTGATGTCAACAGAACGGCCCATCTCGTTCAGGTGAGTCTCGCTTCTGGTCACGTTGCTGAGTCCGAAGTCGGAGTGGCTGTGGCTCCCCAAGGGGCGGAGCAACCCGTCAGAGATGGTGTAGGAGACTGGGGACTGAACAGGGACAGGCATGGGTGGGGCTTTGCGTTTGGAGCGGGAGAACAGGTAAGAGAGGCGTTTGAAAGAGTCCGTCTTTGCACTCGGACCTGATAGGCGCTGCAGACGGCTCCTTGTACGAGCGAGTGATGATGAGAGCGCTGAAGAGAATGATGAAGATGACGACGGGACAACAGAGGTGGAGGATGGAGAGATGACGGTCGTCTTCAGCCCATTGCTCTTTGGTTTTCCCTCCTCTTCCTCCTCCTCTGTCCCCCATTCAATACCTTCCTCCAGCTCCTCCCCACCTACCCCCCTTTCTACCTGGGTCATTCCAGAAATAGAACGCACCAGTGCAGACACGCCGAGCGTTGGTGTCGGCTTTGTGTCGTCCTCTGCTGGAGTCATGAAGGTCACGCTCTTTGATCTCTGAACTCCCAAGCCTCCTCCGGTGCCTTCACCTGACTCGCTGTCGTCCTCAGAAGCCATGGCACCGTCATCTTTCGTTGTCTCACTGGAGGAGGAGTAGTTACGCCGAGGAGGACGCCGGTTCCCAAGGAGATCTAGGACCTCGTAGCGGAAACTGGAGATGTCTTGCTTCAGCTCCTAGAGATAGACATGAATTCATAATGTAAATCCTAAGGATATAACATTTCTTGCTATGAGAAGCTAAAATTGAGGTTTTAAAAAAGTAGCACTTCTACTTTTCATTCGGAGGGATGTACTGTTAATTCTAAATCCCTATATCAAAAAATATCTAATATCCAAAGGAAAACCAAGAAGGAAAAACCACAGAAAGGGAAGGTGAGGGTGAGGAGGGTAAGTGGGAGAGATGAGGTTGATGACTGGCTGAGAGAGGGGAGGTGAACCATTAGTTTGTAGAAGCAGAGGGTGAAGAGGAGGGTGATGAAGAGAGGGAGATCAAGGTTAAGAGACATGCAAAAAGAGAGAAAAACAGAGTGGATAAATCCTGAAAGTGAGTGTAAAGAGACTGGGGTCGGTGGAGGGGAAATGACGAGAAGCAAACATTTATTCTCAGTTTAGTCAATGAAACTTGTAGGTTTAGTATCAACTGCTTAACATAAAAGAAGAGAAAATAAAGGTTTAACATTGAAAAAATGAGTAAGTCTGTTAACCCAACAGTATTAAAATATCAGAAGCTTCAGGGTTTACTCAAAGTTTCTTAAACTGTATAGCCACACATCTGACACCAAGTACTTCTGTACTGAAGATGACAGTGTAACAAGTATTTATGTCAATGCTATTAGCTAGATAGCCTGCTAGCATTGGTACTGTACTGTACTAATGATATAGCTTCCTCCTGCTGAAGGAAAATTTGTTGGTAAAACTGATGATGATCATAGCCGGGAAGTGACCAGCGTTCCAAACGCAACTTTTTTGACTGTTAATACATCATCTTGGGCAGTAAGATTGCAAGTTAGCAACAACACAGTACAACCCAACTTTGGGAGACACGAGTGGCAAGAAAGGGGTGAGATAAACTCACTGATGTCTCACACCCTGTACCCGGTATCACCTTTGCAAATATCCTATGACCAGAGGTGTGTTATATCTTGCAATACAACTGTAAAGAACAATTCCAGGTGGTATGGTCCAAAGTGCCACTTAGCACCGAGTTGTATTTGATTTGGGGGAATGATACTAGAGCACTTTCTTGTGGTTTTTGTCTTTAATGTCCGTAATTGCCATTGTGTGGCATTGTCAGCAAAATATAACGCTAGATCAATGGAGCAGCTAACTTTCTCTGAGTAAAGAAAGAAAGAAGAAAGAAGTGGAAACGTTATTCTTCACGGTCTTTAATAGGTCAAACCCTTAAAACCCTGGTTCTTCCACTTCCTACAAGGCACTCAGAAACATGAGACCATGAAATCATGATTTATTCTCCACACTTCCAATTTCCAAAGGACCTTGAGAGCCCTAGGACATACCCTCGTGTTTATTTGAACTGTCATTTCTTTTAAAATTGGTTTACAGTACTATCTAAATCTGTATAGCGACCCAGACATTATGCAATATCTATATTTCTGTGTATTTTCATGGAACAGAGACAAATTAGATTAGTTTCTTCTGACTGAGAGTTCCATCATGTTGTTTGTTTGTATTTTTTTGCTTCAGGACATCTTTACTTTAAAACAACCGTTAACAGTTTCCATTTGTTTATACTCCAAATCTTTTGCTTATTTGTGTTACAAATTCGAATTGCTTTGAATTTCTCTTCATCATCCGTATGATGTGGGTCTTCGTACCCAGTTTTCTTACATAATAGCTAGAGGCTGTGGATGGGAGGGGCCAAGCAATTATTTGTAGCTGTTTATTTAGTGTGTATATTATGTAATGTTGCTTTGTTCTTTTTAAATTGAGACCTTTAGGACATTTTTGGAAAATGGGATTCTACATCACAGATTAAACGAATTATATTCCTTAAATCAGTTGGTTTCTAGAAATGGATAAGCATTGAAGGGAAGGAATTTCCTCTCCCCTTTTCCCCCAAGAAGAAAGTAAAACAACTATTGGAAGATTTTCACTGTGTTGCTTAGCTCTGAAGCATCCACCAGGGAGGAGGGCTGATGTTTATTCCCATTCAGATCACGTGCATCGTGAATTTAGCCTGTAGCTTTAATACAGAAAATTACCATAAATGCCTGCATAAACATGCACTCTGTTTACTGTAACTCGCTGCTTGCTGCATTTTTCTCCTGCAAAACAGAGAGCAACGAGACCCAAATAACTCTGCTAAAAAAAAAAATCCTTTTTGTCTGTCTCACCATATGGGATCCAAATGCTTCACTGGGGAGAGTAAAAGCTGACTTCAGCATGCACCTGATCTTAGCTACGTGTTTTTAAGCACACAAACGCACACTTTCTGCACAATTACAACTCTCGTATTCTACATTAATGCACACAGAAGTACACGAGCACACTCGGGGTGTGAACATTGATTGAGTATGATGTGCACCTGATGTTGTTTTTGCATTGAAAAACCCAGAGGAACTTTCCACTTCAAAGCCCAGGCTGGGCTCCAAGGGCTTCATGAGAAACAGACTCGGGAGGTAAAAGCAGCTCAGAATAATTTATGGCCCAGAATATTTTGGAAAGGCAAAGAAGCTCTCTTCAAGGGTTATTGACTTAATGGCTGGTATTGATGAGAGCTGTAGATTTGGGGAAGGAGGTGGTTATTAAAAATCTTTTGATAAATCTCAGTAGAGACGAAAAGCAGCTCTGCATCTGGTATCAGTGAAACCTGCACTATTATCACAGCACTAACATTCATAAACAGTTGCTGTGCTCTGTTTCTGCAGATTGGCCTGTGAAGCTTTTAATTATAGATTTGCTGCAAACCTGAAGAAAGATGGATTTTACACTCATTACTTACAGCATGTGAGAGGTTTTTTGTCTTTATTCTGATCACCCACCTTAAAGTTTTCCTCTGTCAGTCCCTCGTCTGTCTTGGCACTGCGTATCATTGCTGCCACGTACCTCTTCACCAGGTTCCGGATCACTTCCTGTTGGAGACAGTTGCCATAATTTCATTGCTAGCATGTGTCTGTGTTTTTGTGATGGACCTGTTCAGTCTATGCTAACACCAGCTGATAGTTTCACACTCCACCCTCTCTGTACTCTCAACTGCTCTTTCATTGGTTACAGCCAGCCATCAAATCAACCAATCACATGAATTTAGGGCATGTAAAGATGGTCAAAAACCTGCTGAATTTCACATTAAACATCAGAATGAAGAAGAAAGGTGATTTAAGTTTTAAATATAAGTCACATTATTGTGGCATGGTTGCTCGTTCCAGATGGGCTCTATTTCAGAAACTGTTGCTCTACCAGGATTGCCCACACAACCATCTCTAGGGTTTACAAAGAATGATCCATAAAAGAGGAACTATCCAATGAGCAGACTTTCTCTGGAATAAAATGCCTTTTTGATGTCCGAGGTTAATGACCAGACTGCTTTGAATTGATAAAAAGTCAAAATCACAGAAGAGCATCTCTGAAAGCACAACACATTGAACGTTGAATCAGCTACAGCAGCAAAAGACTACAGTGAGTATCACTCCTGTGAGCTAAGAACAGAAAACCGAAGAAAAGAAAGAAAAGAAAAGCTCAGAAAAATTGTTGCCAGGTCTGATGAGTCTCAATTTCTGCTGCAACATTCAGATTGTAGGGTCAGTATTTGGTATAAATAACATAAAAGCATCCAACCTTCCTTATACCAAATGTTTTTAGCCTGCCTCGGAACCCTTTGAGCTTTGGTTAAACACCACCTGAGTATTGTTGCTTTATGACCACATTGTACCCACCCTATAAAACTGAAATCATCTCAAACTGGTTTCTTGATCATGGCAACGTGTTCATTGAACTCAAATGGCCTCCACAGTCACCAGTCACCTTTGTGGTGTGGTGGAATGGGAGATTCACTTTATGGATGTGGCGCCAACAAATCTGCAGCAACTGTGTGATGCCATCATGTCAACGTGAACACAAATCTCTGAGGAATGTTTTGTTGAGAATAGATTCCTTAATATAGATCAGAGTTAAAGAGAATATAGTTTGTGATTGCTTGCAACATTATAATATTGCGGTTAATGAGTGTAAGAATACAAAATAGAAAATAGGCCTGGAATGGCAACAAAGAACTTGGTGCAAGGCAGGAGGACAATCAACCCACACCCCTAGGGGAGGAAGCAAGAGTTACTGAGAGTGAGGGGCAGACAAAGGGCAAACGGACACTACCTTAAAAGGAGATGGGGGTCAGGGTGTCAGCACCCTTGGCCACTGTACTTGTGTATTTCCATTGTGGGAGTGTTTACTGTAGGGGGGAGGAGACCAGAGGTTATAACTGTAACTGTTGTGTGGAGTTCTTTAGATCAGCCTTTAGCATAGGACTGCATAGGAATGCAGGGTGCTGATCTCCAGATGCATCTGTAAGAATAATGGGTAACAAAAGGATTGTGTAAAACATGGAAACATCTCAGCGTGATCTCTACCAGGACCAAAAGAATCGCAGAGACCGGCGTTGTCTCAACAGTTTCCAGCAGCTTGTTGAATCTGTGCCATGAAGAATTAAGTTAAAATGCTAAATTGGGGTTTTTAAAAAAGCCTTGAGAGTGCCTTGTAGTTCTTGGACGTTTAAGCTTGTATTTATCTTCTCTGTAAATCCCTCCAAACAAATCGCCTCCAAATCAAGGATGTGCTCCTACTGAAAAAATAATCCCTACAAAGAGAAACTTCACAAACTTACTAAGTACTTACTATACTAGCTAAATCCATCTCCATGACACACCGACTTTTACTGATTTCTAATGTACTGAAAACCCACTGAATCTTTATTCATTCAGATATTACATCGTTGTGCTCTGTGTCTGTCTGAGCTGTGTGAACATTGCAATGCAGCACAATTCAACCCTGTGTAGGAATTTAAATGTTATTGTCTCATTAAGTAATCAGCCAATGAGGCGGGTCACCCTCATTGATTTACAGACCAAAGACAAATTTCACAAGCATTTGGTGCTCAGTGGGTGGCAATTCAAACCCTGACACACTGCGACAGTGCGCACACACACTAACACACTGCATCCTCCCACAGTCAACACCTGTGCCTGCCAAACAGGACGGTCTGGCATGCTGTCACTCTCCGCCTCTGCCAAGACACACCACACACTCTTGTTAAAATGCAGGACAGATTCCTGCAGCAAACCTTAAAAAACATGGACAGATATCAAAGTAACAATCAGCACTGCCAAATACAAAGTACTGGCGTTCCTGCGTTTGTAGTCCCTGCCAGTGCTGAGGTGTCAAAATACAAGAGCTCAGTTTTGGTTGATTTGCTCTACTAATACTGAAAAAATCCCCTTAAAGCTGGACATCAAACGGAGGGTTACAGCTGCCAAAAACAATACATGGTTTCGTTTACTGAAAAAGGTGCTCGCTGTCTTTGTAACTCAAAGTAGAGCAAAACTCTCAAAACACAAATTCACTTGGATTCCCAGTAATCAGACCTTTCGCTATTCACAAGATGAAAAGCACATGAGTTTGGTCGCTGCTGGTAAAAAAAAAGAAAAAGAAAAAAAGATTTTCTCTAGTGATTTTTAAGGCCAAGAGGGTTAAAAAACTTCTCAGGTGATATCAGTTACCTGACGTACAAGAGAAACAGTGAAGATGTTTCAGAGCATCTGGATTACATTGACTGTATCAGCAAGCCTTTACTGAACCCTACAGCACCCTTGAATTATACACTTTAGAATCACAGATTCGCTGGTTTTCAATGTTGAAGCCTCAACATTTGCATTATGGCAGCCAGATGGAACTACTGGCTTTTTGAAGCCACATGTGGCCATCTTTGGACAAGAGTCAAACAAATGGAAGCGAGACCGAGTAGTAATACAAAGTGGACTTTACATATAACTCAGTGACTATACGAGTTTGCAGGTAAAGCAGTGTGGGGAAAAGTAGTAAGGACACTCCTACTGTATGTCAGTAAAGATGAAGACAGGAACTACACACCTGGTAGTGCTGATTCTGCCTCAGACTGTCGGCATGACGCTCCTGCAAAGAGAAGAAAAGTTGTGTTAATACATGGTTTTCCACATTTAGCAAAAAGTTCTTTTATTCCTGTATTTCCAAAAATGTGCACTCCCTTACAACTAAACTGTACCCTCACTTATGACTGCAGGGAACGCCCTCTCTCCACCAAAGACCAACAAAGCCTACATAAAGAGGCAACAATGACACTTTCATCTGGTATATTTGGGGTCAACTCCTCTATGGGACCATTTTTATTAAGGTTTAACTCTTCTTCTTCTTCTTGCTGCTGTACCCTTTTAAGGGTTACTGCAGCAGATCACCTGCCTTTATTTTACCCTATTCCCTAGCATCCTCTGTCACTTAACCCTTTGCATGTCCTCCTTCACTGCACCCATGAATCTTCTCTGTGGTTTGGTAGATTTTGTTAAACAGTCTGGTCTAAAAGTCCACTGCCCTTGACTCCATACCTCCACAGGATTGTCATGAAGCATAGAAAGTTGTACAAAATGCTTTGAGTGCCCAGGTAGAGTAGAGAGGCACTATATAAGACCCAGTCCTTTTACCAACCACTCTTCAACCTCTTCAAAGCTGCCCTCACTTCCTCCTTACTAATCCTCTGCACCTTTTTATTCACCAACTTTCCTCTTTTCTCCCTCTCATTTTCTTATTTTTCCTAAAAAAAACACTTTGCAAGGTTTTGTTTAGAGCGTACCGTTTAACTAGATTACCCTTCTTAGAAGTTTCACATCCAATGTTTTGGGTTGTCAAAGCAGTTTGGGGAAGCTCTGGCTACAATATATCGACTTAGCTTCTGACGACAAAACCCAATTTGGAGCGGGTGGGCAAACTTTTCTGCCTGTCACTGTTACAAATAAACAAGTAAACTGAAAGAAAAAAAAACTTTGCTGAATCAAAGGATGACAGCTGGTGAACTGAGCCCGGAAATTTGCTAATGTGTCCCCTCTTTGCTCTCCACATAGACTGTTTACCTTTGAGCTAGTCGAGCCTGTTCAAACGTGATTGTGCCACAGAAACGAGACTACAAACAGAAACCACAAATATACATATTCATATCGGTTTATAGAGATCATCATCAGGATGATAAATCTGACATTTTCATAGAGAGTTTATCTGTCTTCTAGTGCCAAACTGAACCAAAAGCAGCCAGGTAACAAATTGATTTTGGGAATTTCATATGAAAATTAAGCTTTTACAATCCTTCATACTAGAGAGGTGCCGAATAATGAATTCCACTTAATCATTTTTTCTCCACTCAAAACGATTATATATGTAACAGTTTAAAGGGCCAAGTTATGCCCTTCATTCACATTTCAGTGCTGTCATCCAGAATCACAATCATTACAGTGGCAGAAACGAGCAGAAATGTGAATCTCTCCTCTATAAAAGGCTTTTCTCACCTTATCCAATGATAAATTAAATCGAGGCGAGCATGCTGGGAGCATGAAGGTTATTTTTAGTGGGCTACAGCAAACCAAACCTAAGACACAGGACTTGTCACTCTGCTGCAGACTTTGCTGAACTCAAGAGGACAACCAGACATGAATACGTGCAGATTTCGCAATACGATATCACATATAGAATAATAGATAAATCGAGGTGAAACCATTAAAGGAGTTCAGAAAAAAGTAGAGAAAACATCTGTTTTCACATCAAACCCATACAAGTAACCACTGCACTAAAGTGACAACAGGTTTAAACAAAAGCTCAGAAAACACAAAATATATGATCGAATTTTTCCTTTTTATCATGAGTCATTTTACTTTATGTGTATTCTGTGCTGATGCTCTTGTAGCTAAGGATTTTAAATGCAGGATCTAAACAGTTATCTGATCACAACAAATTAAACAATATTAATAAAAAACAATAAATCTGCAGTTGGCAAAACACCTCCCACCTCCACCACGACAGCTCCTCACTTTCCTGCTGTGTGACTTCATGTAATATCTACTGTCACATATGTCTGCGCTGCTGTTCCTCCTGCCTCTGGCTTTCCACGTTTGCCTGCTCGGTCTCACAGCAAAACATGAAATAGTCATAAAAACAATCTGTGTTTGTGATTCAGATGAGTTTGAAAAGAAGGCATTTCAAATGGAAATATATTCGTTATCTGCAGCACGTGCACTCAGTGGCCCTTTTTTGGGTACAACTGTTCAATGCAAAACAGCATGGGCATCATATTGAGGAGGAAAGGTGATTAATTAATTAATTCTCTGCTTGGCTTTTCCCACACAACCATCTTTAGAGTTTAATTAGAAACTATCCAGTGAGCAGCAGGTCTCTGGGAAAACAGAGCAGAATGGCCAGACTGCTTTGAACCACTCGCTACAACCAAGGTATGCAGACAAGCATCTCTGAATACATAGCATGTCAGACCTTGAACCAGATGAGCTGGACGTCACTCCTGTCAGCTAAAAACAGGAAACTTAGTCTATTACTGTTATTTGCACCACCTCAATAAAACTGGACAGAAGACTGGATAATAGCTTTCTGTCTGGTGAGTCTTGATTTCTGCTGAAACGCTGAGATTGTAGCGTCAGAAGTTGGTTTAAACAACATGAAAGCAGTGGATCCATCACGGTTCAGGCTGCTGATACTGTGATAGCATCAGGAATATTTTCCTGGCACATCCGTTAAAGCTTTGTTTAACCAATTAAAACTGTTGTGAGCACAAACTACTGTGACTCCTGAACCAATTGAAAAATTTCAGCAGTTCCTGAAAGCAGCAAGTCTGTGCTTTTCAGTGATATGAGAGTCACGGTGCCACCTTCCAAATCTCGGCAAATAACACAGGACACAGTAAAAATAATGGTACAAAGAAGCCAAACTCTGTCTCATCTGTCAACAAACCTTTGTATTCTTGGGGCTGCTGTGACGCCATGACTGGGATTACTGTATTGACCCTAATATCATTGAAAAGTGCAGAGTTGCTGCTTTCAGGAAGCATTGGAATTCTTTTAATTGTGCAAAAAAAAGAATGTTGCAAAAACCTCTCTGACGCCAGCAACAGGTTAGGCTTTAGAGGGTTAAATGCCACAGTTTGCATGAGTATTGTTGCTGATCATTTCCATCCCTTTATGACCACAGTGTACCAGGCCTCTGATGGCAGTTACCAGCAGGATAATGCACCGTGTCCCAAAGCTCAAATCAAATCCACAAATCTGGTTTCTTGAACATGACAATGAGTTCACTGAACTCAAATGGCCTCCGCAGTCACCAGATCTCAATGTGATGCAGTACCAAACAGTTTAACCCAAACTACCACTTTCCAAAACATGTAGTTTTAATGCTTAAATCATTTTAAATAAAAACATTTTTTTAAAGTGGAAAACACTGATTTCACGTAAATGCACACAAATCAGTATCTGACATACGAGACCGTGGTGTTCAGGGACACGACAAAAGCTGAAAAACTGTGTTCAGAAACATAACTCATAGGTTGGGAGGATTTTGAACATGGAGGAGCTGTGGTGAGATCCACAAGTTCATTTTACATGGTGATGTAAAGGCTTTATGGGGCAAAGTATCATTTATCAACTTTATCACAATTCTAGACACATGAGAAACAGAGAGCTCATTCAAACCAATTTGCTCCTTTTAAAATCTCAACAATATCAGAAAACAGACGAATATTTGGCCGGATATTTGTCAGCCGTAGATGCACGTCAGCTGTAACTCGATGTTCCACTGGCGTCGAGACGACTAAAGACTCGTCGTCCTTATCAGCATTCTCTCCCTTCATTTTTCTGCATCTGTCACACAAACATCCATCATCTCTCTCCTGTTTCGTATCTCGCATTTTTTCATTTTGTTTTCATCTCGGCCCAATCACGGCCGTTTCACCTCTCCGTCGCCGCTTCATCTTCGTCATGTTTTACACTCGTCTAACTCGACCCCTTTCGAAACTGTCTCCCTCTCTTTCTCTCACTGCTAATGCAAATAACCCCGACACACAAAAAACTTCACTCAACCCCGTCCCTTTCTTCAGAGCAATCATTATTTTTCATATCTCACGCTGTTTTTGTGTTTACTCTTAATACACACACACACACACACACACACACACACACACACAGGCTCTCTCCCTCGATCAGATCTCTGCAGTGCTGTGTGTGTCTCTGTGAACCTATGTGGGCTGGTTGGCTTATATAACTCAGCTGACTTCAGTTGAGGTGAACATGCCAGCTGCAGAGTGTGTGTGTGTGTGAGAATTATCGCTCTGCGCCGCGTGCTCGCCGGCTCTCTCCAGCTGACTGGGCTGTTAAATGTGTTTATCTGCCGATGTTCCTTCTGTGATTATAGAAACGCAGCTGATGTTCGTCCACGTGCGGTGCGATTGTATTTGTTAGGCTTTTTCTGTGTTCAGCTCTTTCTTTGCCTCTTTAATCCACTCTCACTGCGAGCAGACCGAGTCCTTCTGCTTTGATCAGGTGGGCGACTGCTCAGAGGTCATAAAAGCCACATTCACTGCAGATCATTTGGATCTGCATGATTTTATTAATCACAAAAAGAACATCAGCTGACAAGTCCTTCCTCCGCCTCCCCACTCACTTATTGTACTAACTCTGCTGCTTTATGCTGCTTCTATTTCAGTCGGTACTTCACAGCAAACCAAACCATCAACCCGAAATGTTCAGTAATAAGAAGAAAAAGCCTGGATTTCTGTCAGGTTTCACAAATCTCCGTTACTCTAGTGTATGTAGGCTGATCACAGTTTCCTGTGTAATAAACCCCCAAAATTCAGAGTCAGCACAAGACAAATACAGTATGTCAAAGTTTAAAAAAGAAATACTGTTGTAAATATTGTGGCTTTTATATTGGGGCTACTGTCAAATCAATTTTGGCTAAAAAAACAAAACCAAACCCAAATACATCATTTGAATGAGAGCTTTTTAAATACATGAGGTATAAACTCCTCACAAGCAGCTGTTCAGCTTTTCTCAGCTAATGGAAATGGACTGTTATCATTATTATTATTATTTAAATTAGTTTTGTTTCTTCTGTGATTCAGTCACACTCGAGCTGGGATGTCAAACTAATTTTACACCGTGGGCCGGATCAGTGAAGCTAATTAATCCCTGACATATCCTAATATAAGAAAAACAAGTGCAAGTCCCTGATTTCTAAATGGCAAATGTGCAAAATAAAAATTTCTGGTAGCTTACTGCCCAGACTGTCCTGTATTTATAGTAGAAAATTCCTATGTTTGACACCCCACTAGAGTAAAATAGGCTAGTGACCTGATCGCGACTAGGAAAAATTGGTTGTCATGCAGTGACTGCACTGAATTTCTTTTTATTTTTTTGCTTTTAGAGCCCGATTAGTTGACTAAGTAGTTGATTGATCAAGCATTTTCAATTATAAGGCGATTACACATGAAGACACGGCGCTGTCCGACTCGGGCTGACTGCATTTACTCTCAGACAGACTGGCAAAGTCAGTCTGGAGCAGACAGATTGTCAACACATAGCAATCAATGGGAGTCAGTCTGTGCAGGTTAGCAAAACGTACACACACTGTGCCTTTTTGCAATAGTGAAGATGACTCAGCTGGTTTCAATCTGGTTATATTCCTATATAAATCAAGCACCAGTGTCATTTTGCAGGTAAATAACTGTCCTGCAGCAACTACGTCACTATTTGTGGACAAATTTCTGTCTCGGACGTAAGAGGCAGATGTAAGATGTAAGGTCTATGCATGCAGCTGGCGACAGATCTGCAAGTTCCCATTTCAACTCTAACAGACAGAGTTGAAGTCAGTCTCATTTTGCTCCTGCACACAAGTAATTTCAAAGGGAACAATCACAAGTTTATTGGACAAGGTTGCAATAATTTCTCAAACCTCTGTCTTCCTTAGTGTGACAGCAGCATAAAAGTCCCCTAAGGAGCCTTTCTGAAGATTTTAGTTGCATCAAAGACCTTTGTAGTACAGTTTGGCTTTTAAGCTTTTCATTCTGATTTACAAGCTAAAGAAGATCCATCTTTTCATTTTCAGAGTCACGGGGGTGTATTTCACCCATCACAGGGCAAGAGATGGGGTCCACCAGTCATTCAGCCATCCACTCTCACATTCACACATATGGCCAATTTAGAGTCATCGGTCAACCTATCAGACACGTCTCTGGATGTCAGAAAGAAGGGAATACACACACGGACAGGTAGAACGTGCAAACTCCACATAGAAAAGCCCAAGATTCACTTCATAGCAGTCTGTTGACGTTTACCACAGTCATTCTTCAGGTCTTTGCCCCTGAAACTGTTGTTTCTCTTTTCTGAACTCAGTGGTTTCTGTCATATTTCAGACAGATTTCCAGTGAGAGTGGTCTCTGCCTCTACAGCTACCTGTAGAAAAACCCAGGAATGATTCATCAAACCACGAATTTACTGACATACACTGAGGTGTCAAAACTTGTCATTAAGGGTACAGAGAAGATCATCGAATGTAGTCTTTATGAGGGAAGAGTTCAAACCTCCAGCTAAGACAAGTTTCCATTCATAGCCTGTAAATTCTTCAGTCTTCAGCCCAGGACGGTTTGTAGGCTTTGCGCACACATAGCATATTAGTTCACACATTAGCAGTGACTCCAGTTTATTCTCAACGTTGTGAACTTTAAAAGTTTCGTCTGCAGCTGCTGTTCTGAGTGTCCCATAACTGCAGAGCTCAGAGTTTTGATCCTGGCAGCTGCATCTCGTTCTGTCACCATCAGTCAGTTTCAAAATCCATCTTCATCTTTCCAAATACAAACAGACTAAACCACATTCCTGTCTGGGACTGGAGTGCAGAAGGCAACAAGGATGACACAAAGAATAAAGGAAATAAAACAATACACGCGCCTCAGTACAAACATCCCATCCTTCCCATCAAATACTTTGTACTTCACTTTTGCAAGAAAACAGGGAAATAGTTATAATTTCCATCTTCCCGAGAGAGAGACCTGTCCAGGGTGGATGTCTCTCACCCAGTGTCAGAGTTATAATCTATAACTACCGCTTGTCCTCGACATCGTCACCAAGATTATGAAACAACTTCTAGGTTGAATTTAATTAAACAATGTGTAATATTTCTATCTCTATATTTCTATAAATACATCAAATTTTTTGTAGGTTTTTTGGGCTCTTGTTTTATCTGTCTTTTAT